GACCAGCTTTAATCAGGGTTGCTGCACAATTAACATCAATTTATTTAATTCCTTTTTAAGCCCTAAATATAGCAAAAACACCATTTCACCCTGCAACACTGCACAAATTCAAAGATGGCATGTATTAATAATAATTTTACTCCAGCTGATAAGTTGATCCTTATCCATGTCTTCTCGGTGTGTTTATTAGTTTCATCAGGGGTCAACTTCTGGCCATATAAATTGAATTGTTCACAGTGATGGTGATAGGAACCGGACATCCACCTCTAAAAGCTCCCTCACAGAAAGATATAACATAAAATGGTTATGAATTCACTGCCTGATGTCAAGAGATTGTTTAACGATAGTTTTGAGAAGATTTTTCACCTTAAAACCCATTCGTGGTGGAGGGATACATAATATTCAGGGTGTTGTGGGGCAAAAATAGTCCCCCTAAAAAACGTATTATCCCAGATTTTCACTATTTTACCATCATCAACATTCCATATGAACTCAGAAGACTCGTGTAGGTTCACTGGTGGTTTTGGATAGTAAATGGTCTATGTTTGTGTTGTAGTCACGGCGACCCCTGGTTCCTATCACCACCACTGTACTTTTGAACCATTTCACACAAAACCACTCTGAATCTCTCTCAAAAAGAGACAATCTCAAAAGCTGAACTATGCAAAAATATTGAACAATCAGTGGAATTCCCCTTAGAGCCTAGAGACTTAGAGCTTTCTGAAATGAATGAAATGAAAAATGGGTTTCCAAAGAGCAGAGACAATGGTAACAACAGCATAAAAGTAGAGCAGCAGGCTATTGTGCAAGTGTTTAAGCATTTTAATGCTCAGATAAGAAAACTGAAAGAATGATTCAGTCCCCTCTCAGTCTGAGACCGTGATAGCGCACCAGACCACAGAGGGGGGTAAAAAAAACCACATTGAACACTACAGTGCACAGCACATACTCATTTCCACTGAAAACCACACCTATTAGTCATGCCAGAAAACAGCAATCTGAAGGTAGCTGCTATCCCGTATCATCTCTTCCTGGTCTAAACAAGTCCGAGGAAACAACAAGCGCACTGTCATCACGACACGTAACCTTCCTCACTGCTTAGATAGTGGAGGATAAAGACTGAACAGTTGATTTCAGCAACTTCATTACACCAGGCCTCGCTCAGATAACGCTCATCTAGGAGACACGAAAACAGTCCCTCTGTATCAGAGCGCTGGTTGCTGCCGGTGGGAGCTGCTGTTGCTAAAGTGGTACTTTCCTACCACCCGACTCGGGAGAGACACGTGCGTGTCACCATCGTTTCACAATATTCCCATTATGACTGAGGAGGGGGGGTCAAAAACTGAAGCTTCCTAAATGGCTCTTGGCTTGGAGACATGGTGCTAGGAATAACCTCTAATAAGAACAGAGCAGAGCCCTGTTGGAGCTGGATTAGTTTTATCTGCGGAGCTGAGTGATTACCGACAAGCTCCCTGATTTTAATCGGCAGTGTAAGTAATAATTCAGGAGCGAATTACCTTCTGTAGCCCTACTCGAGCTGGATTAGTTTGAACAGAGGAGGTTCGGTGATGTAATCTATGCCTGATTTGACTGGCTGATCGGTACAGGATTAAGGAACTGTGTAATTACCCAAAACCGCCCCAAAATAGCCAGAATCGACAAGGTAATAATCACATGGATGTTTATGTCAACATTATGTGACAGGTACCATATTACCAAACAATAACAACAAGCTGTGTGGGTAAATGGCAAATATGTCACCAAAAAAACCCAAAATGTGACACTGGACGAGGGAGGAGACTTCACATCTCATGTCAGTGTGGAGTGACGCCTATTATCGATGGAAATTCCAAATTCTAAAAATACTAGAGTGTGATTAACTTTTGACTCTAATCTGAATTTTCAGCTCCTTAAAATCATATAAAATTAAAAAAACTATAAAATTCTCAGACCCGACTGACAGGTTCTTTAGAGAACCAAAAGCGGCAGCTGTAGAAAGAACTTTCTGGTATCTTTATTTTTCAGACTGTGTAAGATTAGATTGCACTTCTATTATGAATTCTCCCTTTAGTAAAGCCATAAACTGATTGTGGGAGCTTGTGATGTGCTGGCTTGGAATCAGTGGCACAGGCAGGAAGAGAGAGACAGAGAGGGAGAGAGAGAGAGAGAGAGAGAGAGAGAGAGAGAGAGACAAGAATGATCTAATTACTGGGTTTTGGCTACGCTGTTCTGTAAATCACTGTGTATGAAAGACAGAGAAGGAGAGAAGGGCACTGAGTTCATGTCAACTGCCAGTGAGAGACTGTAATGGTAAAGTTATAGATAGAAAAGCAGCATCATCAGAAAACTGAAACAATGCTCAGTAATAAGTAGTACAGGGTGTTTCTAATTAAAGTGGCCAGTTAGTGGAAGCACAAGGCCTGTGTTTCCAATAAAGTGGCCAGTGAGTGGAAGTACAGGGTAGGTGTTTCTAATAAAGTGGCCAGTGAGTGGAAGTACAGGGTAGGTGTTTCTTATAAAGTGGCCAGTTAGTGGAAGCACAAGGTCAGCATTCCCAGCATTAATCAGACTGTTAGTGGTAATATGGTTATATCACATGCAGCTGTAACATAACAGGTTCTCCTGTTTGGAAGAAACAAGAAGCACACTTTGCATAAATTCCTGTGATCACAGTGTTTCTGTAATTACTGTTACATTTCCCCTAATTCAAACCAGGAAACGAGCACTATCAGGAAACAAAATGCAATAAGGTTCATCCATCAGGTGAGTTTATGATCCGTTTATGGACTGGGGAGCTGCAAGGCCTCATCTGACCGTCATCCCGATAGTGCATCTTCACAGGCTATAATCAGCCCCGTAATGTGATTGAATGGCATGACCGTTTCAAATTTACAGGGCGGTAACTGTCAGTGCCGCCTCTACATACTCAAGGAAATGTGGGTTTGCAGCGGATGCTGGAATAACATGCTCGGCCATCTTTAATTCACTTAGCGTGGGCCAGGGGTGTTCAATTATAGTGATTGCACTCCGCAGCGCAGGCCATGTGTCAATCAGTCAGGGTGTGGATTCTGGTTTAAAGTGCTTTCACAAAAAAACAGAACTGGCTTGAGGAAGGACAGGTCAGTAAATAATGTCCCACAGTGCACATGCAGTGGTTTGCTGTTTTTCTCTGCTGCTACAATGAAATCATTCTCATTCAGGAAACAAATACGCTGTGATTTAGTCATGAATGTGAGGTGAAGTCTTTAGGAATAAGTCATCTTACTATTCATGCAGGAAATCAGTGACGTAACGGCACTTAAAATAGGAAATGTAGCGGCACTGACAATGCAGAGCTTTGTGCAGGCTAATGCAATGTTTTTATGTATTATCACAGTATTAAAGTGATTCAGTTGGCCAAATTTCCCCATTTACTCCAAATGTATTTGATCAGCAAAGACAAGTCTGATGTCTAAAGTTTGCTTCTTTTAGTTTTAGGCCTGGAGCTACAAGGCTAATGTAGCTAACAAGTAAAGGATGCTTATAGCCAGCTGTTAGCATTGTGCTAACTGCATGGCTAATTAATCACATACCTTTCTCACACTGTGTTGGGCTCTTAAAGGAACAGTTTAGTGAAAAATCAAACTTTACCATTACCATTTACCATTTACCCTACATTAGCCAAGACATGCTTGGTGTCCACATTGTGCTTCTTTTTAGCGCTGGGGCTATGAGGCTAACGTTGCTATAAAAATTAGAAGTCAACAGTCACTCCATCGATTTTTCAAAATTCCTGCATAATTAAATGGTTAAGATGTAAACAGAGTCGTTCAGAGTGGTTTGGTGTGAAACGCTCTGTTCTAGAGAAACTTACCGAGTCAGAATTGTTCACAGTGGTGGTGATAGGAACCAGACGTCCACCTCTAAAAGCTCCCTCACAGAAAGTTACTACATGAAATGGTTATGAATTCACTGCCTGATGACTGAGACACTGTTTTATGACAGTTTTGGTCTAAAATATACCTTTAAATTCACAGTGGAGGGATACATAATATGCAGGGTGCTGCGAGGCAAAATAGTCCCCAAAGAAAACTTATTATTTCAAAATTTCCACTATTTTCCCATTATCATCATTCCATATAAACTCAGAAGTGTAGGTTCACTGGTGGTTTTGGATAGTAAATAAAGCGTCTATGTTTGTGTTGTAGTCATGGTGACCCCTGGTTCCTATCACCACCACTGTAAAGACATCTGAACCATTTCACACCAAACCACTCTGAATCACTCTGTTTACATCTCAAATACTGAGTTATGGGGAAATTTTGAAGTGATATTTTGCTGAAAAATCTAATTTCCTCATTCTAAATATAGCTGATCAGCTGAGACACGTTTGGTGTCTGAAATCACTGGAGCTACGAGGCTAATGTAGCTAATAAGTACTAAAAGCTTATACCCCACCAATTAGCAAGGTGCCAACTGCATAAATAACAAACTGTCCTTATACTGCGATAAGTTGTTAATTAACTTCAGAAAGACTTGTTCATTTGGATTCTGACACTGTGTGACACAGTGTTATGCATGTGTATCACATAAGCAGGTCAAACTGCTGCTTTAATCCAAGAAAAACCCTAAAAAGTGCTGATGAAAAGCTTTTTTGGCTGAAGGAGACATTTTCCTAGTACAGAGACGTTCAAAACAATGTGCCCCCCGTCCATCTCGCAACCAGCCTAAACTTTCCCCTCATTACCATAATCTCTTCTCCTCACCATGAATTAAACATACTGGCTCTTTTAGCGAGGCCAGATAGAGAACAGTGGACTGCTGTTTAATTCATGGGGGTCCTCCACACGTGTGGTACAGCGCCGAGCGGCGCGTGAATGCGGTTTTGTTGGGCCGCGTAACAGGAGCGGCTGTGTGAAATCCGAGGCTCGGCTGTGCGGGAGGAAATATTGAAGGGTGCGGAGAGATGGGAGGGCTGAGATGGAGGGATGGGGTGTCGCTGGAGACGCTCTTGGACTCACCATGATAAGGCCGGTGGTGATGGGCTCGGAGCAGCCGTGACACAGCTCTCCAAACTTCGCCCAGTAGTCTTTCTTACAGTAGAGACGACCATCTTTCTCATAGTACCAGTGAGACAGAGAGGCACTGCACTCACAGCATCTGAGAGAGAGAGAAACAACAATGATCAATCATTCTGTTCTATGTATTCTATTCCATGTTTAAGATCTGCCTTTAAGTGTTCATGTACATAGTATATGAAAACATTTTACTTAAAGTTATTCATTTTTCAGGAGACATTTCTAAGGAGATTAGATAATCCACTTCAAGTAAAAGGAAAATATGCGAGTTTCCAAAACTGGAGTTCAAAAACTGATTAAAAGCTACAGAGAAAATGTGACTCCTAACAACCACCTGGAAGACCTGGTAGACACCAAAACATCAGAAAAGGAAAGAGACAAAAAAAGAAGAACATTTGCACTAAAACACTGACATCTGAGATGTGCCGTGAGGTTTTATAGACTGATCATCCCAAATTTGTGTTTGGGATTCATTTAGAAAATGCTAAACCAACTTCTAAGACTGAACATTGGAGGTGTGTCTGCAGATTCTTTGAGAGACTGAAAGTGAGCCTACTGAAAAGAATGGAAGCTGGAATAAAGGTAAGGAGTGACACACTGACTCTCGCACAGTTGAGAGTAGATTTAGCTGTTAAGACTTATGTGTACTCCACAAAAAAGCCCTGAGTAGACCAGAAAGTGTGGCCTCAACTTGATCTTCACTGTCTGTGTTTACACCCAAAGACTTTTGCCAATCCGATTAAAAACATTCCAATTATAGATTAAGACTGAGGTGTTTATTCTCACTCTACTCAACAATCTGATGGAAAATCTCCATCACATGTACATGCAAACTAGAAGTAATCAGATCCAAAACGTAGAGAGCCGCTTAGTGTAGCCGTTACCATGATAACCAGCATCACGTGAGTCCAGTCAGAGTGAGACGAGCAGCAGTGAGCAGTGCTTGTGTTTTTAATTACTCTAAAATGATGTCAGACTCAGGAAACGTCCTTCACATGTCCTTATTAAAGAAGGCCGAGAGGAAGACGTCGTGTTCTGAGACACATAAGCTGGACGTCCGTCCCACCGCCGTCTTTTAAAGATCAGAGCATAAACTTCGTCTCCTCTGCAGACCAGTTTCTGCTCCGCCATGTTGAACGGTATAAACTTTCACTATGATGTAACGAACATGATCAGAACGGACTTAAACTTTCCGATTGGGAATGTAATCAGATACAGGTGTTCACACGGATATTATTCTTCTATTTAACAGATTATTTACAGGATTACCCACCTCATTTAATCAGATAGAAACTGTATTCCGAATGGCCTCAATCAGACTATTCTAGTCTAGAAGTGTGTTGAGCTATTAGTCTGCATGTAAATGTGGCTAATGAAAGAGAAAAGATCCAAAAAAAATCTGACCTTTTCGAACAAAGGTCTTAACATGGTCAATGTCACAAAGTTGCTTAATGTTCATAGACAGCCATTACAGCGCCCATCTCAAATATTACTAAAATTAATATTTATTAACATCAAATCTTTACTCAGATGTATATCTGTTTTAACATTAACATAAATTATATTAACTGAATACAAATACATTAATTCTAAGAAAAATACAGCTGTTTATCTGTCTGTTTTGCTTTTCACCACAACACACTGACTTATTTATCCATAAAAATAATGCTCTGTTACATTAAAAGACACAATCAAGAGCCACTTAAGCCAAAATCAAAAGCTGGTAAATTTTGTTTTTTGTTCAACATTGATAATTTGTTGTTTCTGGCATAGTTAACAGAGTAGGGCAAGCAAAATGTGTCCACCTGATCACACAAAACAGTTTTTATTAAATACAAGGTGATTCAAAAAGATTAGGCGCCTCACGGTTGTAAAAATATGGCGCTTTGAAATCGGATAAATGTTTTTGAATCACTCTGCATGTCTGCAGTATTCACAAAAAGTCTGCAATTTACTGTCGAATAAATGACATTAGTAGAGTGTGGAAGCCAGTTTGGCCTGAAATATTCCACCCAGTCATAACTTCAGCATGATTAGACTGTACTTCAGTCTTATTTGGCATACAAAAAGTAATTCTTATTTAGTAAGAGCCATAAGTAATTGAAACTACGGAGAATAAAACAGTAATTTCCCAACATTACAAATTTTCAAGTTAGAATGTCCATTTGGCCCCGAATGACTGTTATTATTATGACTGTGATCCAGTCTACACAAAGCAGAGCGTCCAGACACAACGATGAGGTCAAAAGGACAGTTGTGTCATTATGACTGTGATCTACTCTACACAAACCGCTCATCAAAACACTCATAAACAGCCATCATGTTGTTCTAGACACGACTGGACAACAAACAGATGAAAACAACCATACAAGACAAAACTAGCAGCGTCCGCTTTGATTCACGATGGCAGCATGTGTGTGTAAGAGCGGTGAAGGTGATGTTTAAAAACAGAGGCGAGCGCTAAAGGAAGCCGCTATAGGAAGTATCTGCTCACACAGATAAACATCAGCCTCTACCACAAATAAAGAGCTGAACAACAAGATCGGCACTTCAGTCTGTTCACTAACAAAGTCTGTAGCTAAAGATTTATACAGATCAAACTATACATAACAGCAAAATACAAAGATATACAATATGATACAGTAAGATGATTAGAAATACATCAGCACTATGGCTTGAAGATTAAATATATATAACAAAATGGAGAAATGTTACAAAGAGAAGCTAATAATGATACCCTGACTCTTTGTTTCTGGTTGTTTTCTTTGATTATTTTCCTTTTTTTCTACTTAATAATTTTGTTTGATTGCTTTCATGATTGTTCATAAAAGTGTCTAAACTGATTTTGTTTTCTGTACCACTGCAATAATATCCTTATGTTTTATCTCATTTTCTTTATCACACTTTTATTATTACAGAATCATATTTACTCTTTTCATTCTCTTGTTTTTTACATTGTAATGTACAGTTGGGGGTGGGTGATATGGCAAAAATATTGTATGACTATACTTTGTGTCTTATACTTTGATGTACTTTGATTTTTTCACAATCAATCAATCAGTCAATCAATCAATCAATCAATCAATCTTTATTTAACCACGATACAGGAAAAAAGGATTGATAATGTCAAATAATAAAAGTTAGTTTAATAATAAAAAAGACTCAAATCAGGTAAGTATAAAAAAACTGAAACAATTATAATAAAAATCCATGAAAACAGTAGAAAACATAAAATAATAATAAAAGTGTAACTAAAATGTGAAAGTTGATAAAATCAAAAGAAGATAAAAAAAACAAAGGGAGGATAAGATCAAAAAAGGGAGCGAAAATTAATTAAAATGACTGAAATAATAATAAAATAATCGTAATTAAAACAAGAATAAGAATATGAATAATAATAATAAATAAACAAATAAAATAAATGGGAAAAAATGAAATAACTAAAATAATGAAAACAAGACAACAATAGTGAAAATCTACTAAAACAGTTGATAATAATATGCATCGCTATATTTAGTTTTTCTAAGATTTAAAGTTGGAATAGATCAAAAAGAACCTGTAGTACCACATATAAAAATACTATAATAATAATAATCATATTAATAATAATGATGAATCTACAACTTCAGTGATTTTTTTTCAATGGCTGCACTAAATCCAATAAAACAGGTCTAATTATTAGTGTAATAGGTCAGTGTCAGTTCACTATAGGCTTATAAAAGCAGCCTGTGAGATATTTTATCAAGATAACAATAACATATCGTCAGTTTGTCCATCCCTACCTTCCTGTGCCCTGAGTTTAAATAAAGGTTGTTTGATTAATTGATTGATTAATTTTATTGGGTTTGGAACATTTACGTTTATCACAGGGTGAGACAGATTCACTTTTCCCATAGAGATAAACAACTTAGAACTGGACGTCCTTATATGGGCATGACACCAACTACAGAATATAGAAATGACTCGGAGTTTTCTGAGCTACTAACCATACAATCAAAATAGCATCTGAAACTTTACGTCGGTTTCCATCCGCAGCCAATGACAGATTGCTGACAGCGTTTGTGGGACATATATTCATTTTGTGGGCGTCGGAGTGAGAAGATAATAGAGACATACAAGAAACAAACCATGACAAACACTGTGGCCACCCTTCCTGACCCCTCTCTCTCTCTCACCCACAGACCCTCCCACTCATCCTCCATTAGAGACTGAATAGGTCGATCGGGCTCGGCCCCGTGGGACCATATCTATCAATCCCCATCTGCCGCTCCTGCCACGCAGCTTCCTGACCCGTCCAGACTGCTGCAGCTGTATCAGCTAAACTGTGACACAACCAGGAGTCGGTATATAATAACTTAATAAAATATCTCCCACATTTTTCTCGTATTTTAATTTCCCACCTGTGGGCCACTTATAATGTTTGTGTACCAAAAACGCTCATAATATATTTTAGACTTTCCAACCACTCTTTATCACCTACAGTTAAACAGGCTGTTTTTGCTGCTGTGTCTTTCAGACTGATACACACTGAAGGGCCGAAAGTATGTGGACACTTGACTCACACCTATGTGAGCTTGTTGGACGTCCCATTCCAAAGCCAGGGGCATTAATATGGAGTTGCCTCCCTTTTCAGCTTTGCCTCCACTCTTCTGGGAAGCTTTCTACAAGATTCTGGAGTGTTTGTGGGAATATTTGTCCATTCATCTAGAAGAGCATTAGTGAGGTCAGACACTGATGTCAGATGAGAGGGCCTCACACAAGCCTAAAATCAAAATACACCAAGTGTCGGATAGAGCGGCGTAAAGCGCCGCAACTGGACTCTGGAGCAGTGGAAGCGTATTCTGTGGAGTAACGAATCTTCTCTATCTGTCAGCCTGATGGACGAGTCTGGGTTTGGCGAATGCCAGGAGAACGTTACCTGCCTGACTGCACTGTGCCAACTGCAAAGTTTGGTGGAGGAGGGATGATGCTATGGGGTTGTTTTTCAGGGGTTGGTCTAGATCCCTTAGTTCCAGTGAAGGGAAATCTTAATGCTTCAGCACCAAGACATTTTGGACAATTGTACACTTCCAACTTTGTGGG